AAAAAAAAAGGAAAGGTCAAATAATTTACAGTAGATACTTTTGTATGATAGATACGAGATTATCCGTTTTTGTACTTTGTTCTAGATTTTAAATTCCCAAAAATTAAAAAAAAAATAGCCTATGTTAATTTTTGATTCCTAAAATAAGTTATTTGCTAAAGTAAAAATCATATTGTTTTTAAGATTAGATATGAAAATACTGGCGTTTAAAACTTATTTTCTCCTTTATATATGAGAGATTACAAATTTAGCTCCTTTTGCGAAAAAAGTCATGAATTAACATTCTCAAATTCTGATTAGCTCTTCAATCATACTACTACAGTAGGTCTATATTCTTAGGTGTCATTATATTTGCTATGGGGATAAAATGTCTTGCAAAAACGGGGGGTACGGAAAGAGAATCCAATTTTCAGAAGGAATGAAAATTTTCCTTCTGGGAAAAATATTTGTTTTCTTTGCTACTGGTGGAGTATTATTTCAACATTTAAAACTTATTTAACATAGGACTCAAGTAGAGTTCCAACCTCAATTTAGAAAATACAGCTTATTGTTACCTCCTAGGCAGCCAATGAATGAAAGCAGGATCAAGTGTTTCCATGACAACATCATCTTTAATTGCCAAAAGCAAGAGTAACTCTTGTCCAGTCTCTGATGTACAGAATGCTTTGTCTTCAGGTAAATCCTTTAATCTGTAAAATATATGTGCAAAGAAGTTAGGCTTAAAAAAAACTATACTGCTTTTAAAAAAAGATTTTCTTCTTTTCATAAAACTATATTCATCACGGTCACTCAAAATTCTGAAATGAACTGAATCTGTTTTGATACAAAATAGATGAGGTGTACAGACTTTAAAAACACTTTATATAATGGATATGCAGATAGAAGCAGCTTCACAGAATTATAGATGTTCACAATACTAAAATATTAAATATTAACATATTAAATATTACAACTTTTGATAGATAATAATCAGAACAAATAACATATTACCCTAAAATTCTAACTTTTCTCATTTTCTCTAATGATAACATTTTGGTGAAACTAAGAGTCAAACCAGCAAACATCTTAAAGCACCATTTGCAGTGTCTCTAAATCCCTAATAAGATATATAAATTATAAATAGCATTATCAATACTCAAATTAAGCCTGTTTTTCAGATACAATTGCAGAAATCCCCTAATTACATATGCTACATAAAACAGATCCAAAAATGTGAACGGTGGAAATTGTTTGGCTGAGAATCTTGCAAATGAAATGATTTTCTTCTTTCTTGATTTCTCATAAACTTCAATGTGCTGACTGAGAGAAAATAATTATCTGAATACCCTGTGTCACTTTCAGTGGCCATTTGACACTAGTTAATGTTATGGTTAATGATCAAGTAAGCTAGATATGCACACCTAAAATTGGAGAATCTTTTCTGGACTGCTGACACTCAGCTGGTTCCACACAGGGGAATTAATGACTTTGACTATCATCCACATTAACAGAAAAGGTGTACAACTGTGATTCAGCAGCTGCTATGAATTGAGCGATATTACTTGTTGCTGAGCAAGAGAGAAAATGTCAGCTTTCTTAAGACAATGGTGGTTTATCATGGGATCCTGACATGCACTGTGATGTATTCAGTAAGAATGAAGTGTGTCCAAATAATAACAATGCCAAGAGTGAAAATGTGATAACCTGTAAGTTACATACTTAAAATAATATATTAAATCAGTCATTCCTCTAGTGGTATTCTTATGCACTTGTAATCTAATATATGTTCTTGGGGGGGATGTAAGTGGTGGAAACACAACAAAAATGCCAGGATTTAAGTATGACTTGATCCATGGGAATCTGAAACAGGTGGAAATACAATTGTTCTAAGAACTGCAGGTGAGTAACTTACTGTATCATGGTATCTATGACCATCTCTCACTTGCCCCATTACTACCAACTGTGTCTTGGGTTCCCCTAATGCAAACATTGCTAAATGAATTCAAGTGCAAGCAGTCTACCTGGGTGGTGAAGGACAAAAAGAGTCAGGGTATGAAGCAATGAGACAGGGGAAGAAGGCAGCCAATAAAGGGTAAGAAATAAAGTCACTGATCCTTGTGTAGGACTAGAGCTCACTCTCACTGGGGAGACTCTGGAGGTCCAGCCCAGGCCGAATAGATGCCACAAAGTCATCCAACAGTTATCGTGGAATTGCCCAGAGCTATCCTTGCCCAGGGACAAGGGAGCTGGGGTACTTATACACCAGTACCCATTAGTCACTGTTTGGAGGCTATCCTCAGGGAGTATTAATTACCCAACACTTCTAATCTCTCCCTGGGAGAGCAAAATGGCTCCACTGCTAAAAACATGCCTTCAGGTAAAGAAATGTATATGGTGACAAGTGGAAGTGGTGTGTGCATTGACATGATAAAAAAAACTAGACAGTATGTCTGGGGAAGGCATAGTGCCTGTCACAGCAGGCACATGAACCTGAAAGTTTTTGAAGCCATTTTCAATACTATCAGACCCCAAAAGACTGATGGCTGAAATTACTCAATGATTTAAGCATACAAGTGGAGATACACGTTCTGTCCCCATCAATCATTACACTTCTCAAGTATTTCCAGTGATTGAGTTTCCCTAGTTGGATCAAAGGCTTTCCGATACCGAGCCTTCCTTCTTTTATTTCTTCTCAATCAGTTGTGCATTTTGTGTCTGTGATTGTTTTCAGTTACTAACTTGAATGATAACATATCATTCTAGATTACAGGTAACTTATAACTGACAACTATAAACACCATAATCATGCATATGAGGAAAGTAGTCCAGAAATAATGAGAAGGTAACACAAACTACACAAACGCACACACATGTACACATGCACGTGCACACACATAAAGCAGAAAAGGAAGAAATAAACTATCAAATAAAATAGAATGAGAGTCACAAAAGAGGTTGGAACATGAAGTGCAGTAATATTATACATGATGTGTCGAAGATTCATAAAACGTTTTGGAGTGATTGCAAGATGTATTAAAGTCTGGAAACAGTGGGTAAGTCTTGAAAACAGGAAGGGCTTGAGGAGTATAACAGTAATTGAATTGCTATCTCCTCCTTTGAGGAGTTAAAGCTATCCAGTTTATACACTAAATCAAACTTGGAAAGCATTTGGTAATAACAAAATAACAGATGTAAAAAGTACAAGTAGTTGGAATTTTCAGGAAAAAAAAAAGACAAACTTTAGCAAAGCATCCTGTAGTACCATCAACATAATCATTATTAAAAAGCATCCAGGGGCGCCTGGGTGGCGCAGTCGGTTAAGCGTCCGACTTCAGCCAGGTCACGATCTCGCGGTCCGTTAGTTCGAGCCCCGCGTCGGGCTCTGGGCTGATGGCTCAGGGCCTGGAGCCTGTTTCCGATTCTGTGTCTCCCTCTCTCTCTGCCCCTCCCCCGTTCATGCTCTGTCTCTCTCTGTCCCAAAAATAAATAATAAAACGTTGGAAAAAAAAAAAATTTAAAAAAAAAAAAAAAAAGCATCCAAGGTCACCTGGATGGCTCAGTCAGTAGAGCATGCAACTCTTGATCTCAGGGTTGTGAGTTTAAGCCCCAAGTTGAGTTTTAAAAAATCCACATATATATGAGAGGCTTTGCTCTATGCCATATAGCGAACAAAATAAATGGCCTCTATTCTGACATTGCAATGGAGAAATAAAATGTTCTAAATACTTGTAATTCGGATAAGGAGAAAATGACTAGACTGATAACTCTCTGAAGGTAGGACAGTAGCTCATTCATCATTGGTTGCTCCAATGTTCCAAATATCCTGTATATATAGTAGTAGCTTTCAAGTTTTAATGTTTCTTGCTGAGCTTTAAGAACAATGAATAATTCAACTCAGGAGATTAAATCTTTGTACCGGACATGAAGTGAGTGAAAGCATTTCTACTAGAACGAAAAGATAAGTCACAGCTTGGGATCTAGCCACTGTTTGAAAATCATTTCCGGAAAATGTATTTAAAGGCATTAAAAAGATGGCAACTTAAAAAAAAATGTTATCTTCCCAACATCACATCCCCAAAGTAACATGCATCTCTGCTGCATTTTAAAAGTATAAATGTGTTCAAAGAAGTTCTATAAAGTCTTTTTTGTAAACTCATTCATTCAACAAATATTTATTGAGCACCTATTAGAGGCTGGAATTTCAATTCTCAAGGAAGACACAGTGGGGACTGGGTTGTCAGATAATTCCATGATTCCTGCCCTCAGGAATTCCTGCCCATAACCTAATGGGAGTGAAACAGGATTCAAATAATTACAAAGTATTTGTAAACAAGACACTATGAAAGGTATAATGCAGAAGTAGAAGTTTGTATGAAAGACTCAATGACAATGGCCCCCTTCAGTAAGGTCAGGAAAAGGTCCTCTGAAGAAATGAGAAAAGAAGAGACTATATAATCAGAGTTGTGATTTTTCAGCTAGAGACAAATACTTGGTATGGCTTTGAAATGGTAAGGAGGCAGGTGAGTAGTCACTTTCTGGACCTTGTCCGATCATCTATCACCTCATCTCCCAAGAACTTCCCTAGAACCCCACCCCAACACCCTGGATCCACAACCTAAAGGGTTAATACCTGGCTCTGCAGGGGGCTTCCAGAATCCTGCTCTAGCCCATGTCACTTGTGATTGGTCAGTGCCCATGCCCTACTGCTGGTTACATATTTTGGCACTCATCTCTGGACATGAGGAATAGAATATGCAAAGGCCTTGGGTCTTAAGGGTTCATGGCTTGTTGTTAAAACAAAAAGAAAGCTAATGAGATCAAATGCAGGCGGCCAGGTTGAGTGTGGTATAAAATGAGACTGCAGATATATAATGCCTGGCTATAGACCTTCTTTGCTTGGCTAAGAATATTAGTATCAAGATAAAGCCCTTTGAAAAGTCACTGCAGTGTTAACCAGTAATTGCCATGATAGGATTTGTAGCAAACATTCAAATCAGACATATTGTAGCCTGTATCAGGCTTAAAAGGATGAAAAGAAAACATTTTGCAACATGCCAGTTTCATTCTTACCTTCAAATTCATAGAAATCAGAGGCTGGGCAATATTAGGCAATCTATCTGACGTAAGAGAAGCAAAACATATATCCTAGTATTCTTTTATATGCACACGCACGCACACACACACACACACACACACACAAAGAAATACACTGTATAAGGTTTGGAGATAAAACATCATTCAGGACCATTATTTTTAAAAATGACGTTGCCCATTTTTAATGAGTGCTAAAGTAGGGCATTAACTTTATAAATAATGAGAGTAATTAATACAATCATGACCTGACTTCTCATCATTGCCAAGTATTGTTACAGAGAGAAGGGACATATAAAATCTTGTCCCACTTGTGAAATCACCAAGCTAAAATAAATACAAAGGAAGCTACTTAAGACAAATACAAATCACAATGTCATCTGCCATATTAGGAATATTTAACCAGTAAAGGAATGCTTTAAATCAAAGAAAAAATAGATAGCCTTTAGAATTTTCTCTAATAGGCACTTGCATCTGGGGGCAACAGCTTAATATATTGACAACACGTTTCTCATGGCAATCTTTAAATAGCCCCCAAA